GATCTCCCCAAAACCCCAAAACCCCAAAACCCCAATCCCACCGGAAATCAGTGTATCTTTAAAAAGTATTTTTAGTGATCAGAAAAGTAAATCTTTAAATATTATTAAAAATATGAAGCTACTAGACCCGCTACAAGGATATAAGATTACCTCTTAGATACTCTTCCTTCAACTAGCATTCGCTCTTGCCCTTGGAGTCTGTTTGGCTAGAGGTGAATTTGAAACCTCTAATAGAGATCATGCTATCGGAGTAATGTTAGCAGTTCATATTACCTCTTATGTCCTTGAATACATTAAAATTTTGACAGGGATATGCGGCAAAAAATTAGGTATTTTGAAATTCACTATAAACTTCTTCAACTGTGCTCTCTATTAGGCAGCTATATTCTACGCCTAGGTTAAGTATCTTAGTTCATCTAACCATGAACCATTAAATCTTAATGAGAAGTTTGAAATGAATATTAACGCTCAGAAATGGTTAGTATTGGAAATATCATTTTACTATATGACCATTATTCTAACTATTCTTTTCTTGGTTCTTCAACATTATTTCTAATTGAAAATTGCTACCCCCATTTAAGAAGCAGTGATAATTGAGGCAATCTTAAACAAATAACTGAAATCTAGCAACTAAGAGTCAGATTCAATTCAAGCTCAACAAGCGGCTGATAAAATTCCTGAAAAACAAACTAGTATCAATGATGAGGTGTAAGCTAATGATGATTACTAAATTTACAAAGGTTCTAGTAAGTCATTCTGGAGACCAGATAAGCAAAATCAAGATTACTTGTCTTTAGTAAAAAAATATCTTCAGAGATATCTCATTATTTCCCTAGTATTCTCCATTTCAATCTACGTAATAGTAAAAGGTGAAGAGACACCTAAGGGCAAGCTTTCATATAAATATTCAGTCATAATCCTAGCAGCACTCTCTAGTTTAGTTCTCATTCACACATTACTAGATATTTATACCAAGATACTCTTCTCCTACTGGTATAATATAAGCTTGAATGTAATTTACGGTTTGATGGTTTTAGATATTTTCTTTATGTGCTTTCAAACAATATTCCTTGAAAAATATGAAAATCTCACCAGATATTGGTTGTTAATTTTTTAATTCATTTTTTTGGCATATATTTTGGCATATCTTACAGACTTTATTGCTGAGAAAATAGGATATGAGAAATAATTCTTTATCAATTAGGATGGAGTTACAAATGTACCTCTTAGACATCATTTTATAAAAACTGTGACCTTAAATGTTGATATCTACGCAATTACATTTGTTAGTTTTCAAAGATTAGATGCTAGCCTCCCATAAATAGATATTTAGAAAGAGGAGCAACCGAACAAAGAATATTTACTATAAAAATAATCTAAAGATTAAGAGGCAGCAAATATTAATATTAATGATGGAGAAATCGTTCACAACACTGAAGGTGAAGCAAACAAAAATTTTAGTAATAGCGCTTTCATTTTCTTAATACAAGCTCTCTTAGTATTTTTGGTCTTAGATCAATTCAAGAAGAAAGAAGCTCAGGAGATCAAAGTGACTTTTGCGCTTTTATTAACTAGAATTTTATGTGCTGCTCTTTTACATATGTAACTTGAAGGGGAACTAAGACAGTCCCTTCAAATGCTCAACTATGCGAGACTAATGGTATTCCATACTAAATACAGAATTCCTATGATTTTCATTAGTTTGATGTAATTTTTTGGAGCATTCGGTACAGAACTCATTAATATTTTCCTTATCTGCTAATAAGGCTCTGTACAAGATGTCATTATGAACTTTATTGCTCTTGGAGTTATTGCTGAAATAGATAATATCTATGCTAATACGCTCTATAACAATTACTCAAAGAAATTAATTGAAGATTCAGATGGGAAGCCAGGCCTTCAAATTAACGACTAAGTCCCAGTTAGAAAATAGTATAGCAACAAATGTAGTATTGCAACTTAGATTCATGGCCTTTTAAGATTGTTCTATGAGACGTATTACTTCTATTTCATGCCATTCTCAGTTATCGTAATAACATTCTTCTCAGACTTATTCGATAGTACACCTAACAAGTGATGATAATAAATGTTTAACTCTAATTTAGAGCAGTTGTTTCAAACTCCATTTTTATCATTCATTAAGCAAACAAGATATCATATCATTTTTCGGGGTTTTGGGGTTTTGGGGTTTTGGGG